ATKATTRYTAWWRWGYRKRGKGWSAMAAWRWSAYWTTKKRGWKTYCYYYTTYMMYTTYYTWWTAMSAATTCTTCAAAYCCTACACGATGCTTCYCATGGAGTCATTGGAGAATGCTTYGTAGATTGTGCGGGGTGTTTAATATGGTTTCTTTAATTTTAGCAATTCGAGAATTTCTTTTACATTTCATTCGGYTYGGATCGGTTCGGKTYGGACRTTCGATTCGATTCTCTACAAAAAACTGYTTGGTATGTCTTTGCATGGTATTTATGTTCYTACGTACACGTGCGTAAAATAACCTGCAYTGGTATGCCACAAAACGTAATTGTCTTAATTATCGTCTGCGTGGGAATTACCTTTTTTGGGATATTTTCGAGTGYATATAGATCCCACATGACCTGAAGGCATGCTGTAGATTTAAAAAAATAAATGTAGATCAATGTAGATTATTGCTCTTTCAGACGAAACAAGTTACCATTCTCGGCGCTATGTCCGTGATGCCCCAACTACAAAAAACATGTGCCAACAGTGTGTTAAGCCTTGGATACGAGAAGAGGTGGCAAGCTCTGTGTCTTACGCCGTTCAAGCTTTTTGTTACCCTAAAGGAACCAAATGCATCAGAGGGCCACGAGGACCTCCAGGGGCTCCGGGACCAAAGGGAGACAAAGGGCAAGATGGTAGTGTCACTGACGTTCAGCATTATGGCAACGGCGGAGGGGATGTAGCTAATTTTCCAAGTGAGGAGGCTATAGGAGCCATAAATTCGCCTGGTATAAGAGTAGCACCGTCGTCATTGACCGTCAACGAAAATTCTCCAGCGACATTTACCTGTGCCAGCACAGTAGCAGGAAAAGCTACCATAATCTGGGACAAGGTTGGAGGTTTTAAGCCTGGTGATAGGCTTTTTGAGATCAAAAATGGAAAATTGAAGATCACAAATGTACGAGTTGACGATGCAGGGGAATACATGTGCACAGTGGAAAGCCCTGCTGGATTATCACGAGCTGTTGTAAATCTCAAAGTCAGAAGTAAGTATATATTCTTATTTACAGCGTTTGGAATAAACATTGTCAGGCAAATTTAGAACTATATGGATGTAAGGACCGCATGGCTATATG